TGGGCGACCACGCCCAAGTCGCGGAAGCCGCAGCGGACGGCGATCGCAGGCACCAGGGTGGACAGCCAACGCCGCAGCTCCCTCGAATTCGCGAACAGGCGGCTCTTATCGTGATTGAGTTGCCATCCCATGGCCGTTTCGAACGCTTCAGTGAGCTGCATCCCGCTGCAGACCGCTTCTGCGACGTCGCCCGCCTCGTCGGCCTTGCCGCGGGCCCACAGCGTGAAGTCGTCGACGTAGAGGCGCCGCCGCAATCGGTCGTCCACGGACCCCGTGCGCCGGAACCACGGGTGCGTGAGCACGCCGAGGAAGAACACCGCCAGGGCACAGCCCGGCAGCAGGCCCCGAGCCGGCGACCATGCTCCACCAATGGCGCGCCCGACGCGGACCCGGCGCTTGGCCGTGCACGCCCCCATTGCCGGCTGGGCGATCCATGCAGGCACCCCCGCGCGGGCCAGGATGCCCGGGAGAGTCGCCAGGTCGACGCTGTCGTAGGCCTTCCGCCAATCCACCGCTGCGCCGGCAAGCACCTCCGACAGGGCCTCGGCGGCTTCCAGCTCCACGGCGAGCTCCCACACCAGCTCCTCGGCGCCCCGCTGTACGTCCTCTCCTGCCCAGCTAAGACGCCAGCGGGCGAACAGCCGCGCGCGGCCAGCGGCCCAGACGCGGTAGATCATTGGGAGGAGCCAAATGGGCCGACGCTCCATGGGCCCAGCACCCCCGCCCTGCTTGGGGAGCAGGAGGCCTTCGGGCTCCGCCAGCTCGGAAGGCCGCTGGCCGCCGGCCTCCACCGCCTCCAGGACGTCGGCTATCCAGCCGTGCAGCTCCCGCGGCAGCAAGCGCAGCTCTTTGACCGACCACCCGTCTAGCCCGGCTTTCTTCCGGCGGGGCATTCGCCGGAGGATCTCGGCCACGAGGTCCGCTGTCCACGGCTCCCGGTCTGGGAACGCGGGCAAGCCGTCCAGCTCTTGCAGCCAGTCTTCCCCCAGCTGCGGGGGCGAGCGCCCTTGCCAGAGCTGCCGCCACGGGCCTTCGAAGAAGCGGAGGCGGGCTGCGGGCCCCCCTTGCAGCGCTAAGAGCCAACGCCGCCGCCCTGCTACGTCTACAGAGGCCGCTGGGTCCACTGCCGGATCTGGCACGAGCTCGGCCTCGAGGGTGCCGCGCCGCGGATCCAGCGGTAAAGACGACCCTGTTCGTTGGACACGCTTGCCTTGACCCAGTCGCGCCAGGCATCCTGTCGGCGACTGCGGGCGCTCGCACGGGCCGAGCGCCAGGCGGCCTCCGCCTGCTCCAGCACGCCGTCGGGGAGCACCTCGTCCACGCTCAGCCCCGCCAGCGCAGCAGACCAATCTGGCTGCCCGGCATCTGCCGCACGGAGGGCGGCGAGCGTGGCTGCCGCCACCTTTCGTGCTTTTGCCGCCAGAGAGCGGCCCTGGGCATGCTGGAGCCCGCGCAGCCGCCGCAGCCGGAGGAGGGCGGCGTCGGCCGCCGCGTCCGCAGCTTCGCCGCCGCCGCCGGTCGTCGCGGGCCGTTCAGCCTCCCAGGCTGCTGCCGCATGCGGTCGTTCGGGGACTGTCCCCAGGCCCATCCGGGTAGCCAGCCACGCCCGCATGGCCTGGCTGAGGGTGGCCCAAGCGGCGTCCATGTCGTGGGTGCTCAACGCACCGCGGAAGGCGCCCTCGAAGCCGGCCAACGCCGAGGCCGTGGCGCTCCTCGCTGCGGCGGGACTCCACCCTGCCTGAGCGGCACCATCAAGGGGAGCGACCGGCCGCCTGAGCAGGGCGCGCTCGGGGGCTTCGGCGCGCAGCTCCACCAGTAAGGCCGCGTGCGTGGCGATGCCGAGGTCCCATCGCAGCCCTACCCTCTGCACTAGGCCGAGCGCCTGGGGGTTAGCCAGCACGTAGTCAATGCGGGAGGGCTCGCCTGACGATGGCAAACACGTAGGTCCCGCGGCTGCCAGGAGGTCCCTCCAGCCTGCCATGCCCAAGACCCCCTCGAAGCCGGAGTCGCCGATCCGGAAGTTGAGGTCGCCCACGAGGAATGCCGGGGCCTGACCCAAGCCCTGGAGCCACCCCGCAGCCTCGATCAAAAGGTCCACATTCCTCTCCCTGTCACTCTGGCCGCCGGCGTAGCCGTAGCAGTTCAGGAAGTGCACGGCGCGCCCGAAGCCGAAATGCACCGCGACATGCTGGAGGCGGCCGGGGTGCCGCCCACTGAGGCCCAGCATGGGCTCCGCCCGTGCCTGGCACTTGGCGGGGGCGTGGGCCGCGGCCAGCAAGTGCTCGCCCTCCTGCTCCTGCCCGGGGTGCAAAGTCAATCCCCTCGCCCGAGCGGCAGCGGCTGCGGCCTCCGCCTCCGCTGACGGGATGCGCGCTTCCTGCGCGCAGACCACCGCCGGATCCGCCGCAAGGAGCCCGCGCCAACTGGCGCTCCAGCGCGTCGCATTGGCAACCACCACCGTAGCCGCCAAGCCTTCGGGCCCTGGCAGCGACGCCTCGCCCACGCGGATGCCTCGCCACGGCCACCCGCGCCATCGGGCCTGACCGAGGCCGAAGTGCACGGCCAAGTGCGGGTGCCGGCCCAAGTGGCATCCAGCGAGGCTCGCCATGGGCTCCGGTCGAGCCGCGCACTGACCCAGCCAACCGGCGCGGGGCCGAGCGCCCCCGGGGCGCCGCGGCTGGCCGCGCCCGCTCGCGTGGAGCAAGGGGTGGGTTGCCTCGCGGCGGAGCCGCCTCGGCTGGGGAGAGGCGGCGGCGGTTGCCGGCAGCGCGGCCCGGCAACCCGCTGGGGCGGGGCCGAGGGCTGCGACGACAGGGGGCCGAATCCCCCCGCCCTCAGCCCGCTCAAGGCCGCCAGGGGGCCGCAACTGCGTTCCTGGCTGCACCTTGGCCCGCGCCGAGCCCGCCGGGCCGCTGCCCAGTGGCCCTGGGGGGGCCGTTGCCGCCAGCGTCGCCCGGCAACCTCGTGCGAGGCGTGCCTTACGGCGGGGGCCGCTGGGAAGATGGCGCCCCGGGCCGTCTTCCCACCTGGGGCGCGGCAGGCAGCGCGGCCCCGGGTGCCGCGCCTCGCCAACCCTGACGCTCCTCCATGGGCTCTGCAGCCCGCGCTCCCGGGATGGCCGCAGCAGCGCCAGCAGCCCCGCGACGCATCCGCAGCTCACAGTTGGCCCTCCCCGGGGCTCCACGCCACCTCTCACCCGCACGCGCCGGCTGCTGCGGTGCGTCTGGCGGCGGCTGCGCGGACGTGGCACCATCAGGCACCGCCAGGTGCCGCCGCGGCAAGGCGCGCGCAGCGCCGCAGGGGCAACGCGCGCTGCCCGGGCGCCAGTTGCGCGGGCTGGGCGAAGAGAGGGACACGGGGTTCTGGGGAGCCTCCACGGTCCGTGGACCGGGAACGGTCGCCGTCCTCGGAGCTTCCGCGCAAGGGGGAAGACCAACGCGACCTCGCGCCCACGGAGGCCGCGCGCCGCCTGCTGCCGCCGGGCGCGGCCGCCGCGCGTGCGTCGCAGGGAGGAGGGGTCCCTGCTGCGGCAGGCATGCCTGCATCGGCCGGCGCCCCAGCCGCCCCGCCTCCTGGGTGCCCTGAGCCGCCGCCCGGGCCGGCCGCCGCCCCCGCACCACCTGCAGGCCCAGCATGCCCTGCGCCACCGGGCGCAAGCAGCGCGCCCCGGAGCTGCTGCACCAGGGCCCCGGCGCCAGCCGCCTGCCCGGGAGCCTGCAATGCCGCGCATGCGGCGGCGAGGGCAGCGAAGGCGCCGTCGAGCCCTGCGGCTGCGGCGGTCGTGCCCGCGGCATCGCGAGCAGCCGCGGCCTCTGCCTGCACTGCCTGCAGCGTCTGCTGCGCCGCGTGCTGGTCCGCGATGGCCTGAGCGGCATGCGCATCGGCCTCCTCCGCCGCCAACCGGGCAGCCTCGGCCGCAGCCCGCGCGGCCTGCGCTGCCTCCTGCGCCTTCTGCGCTGCTGCGTCGCGGTTGCGCACCGTGTCCATCGCCGACTGCAGGCGGCGATCCAGCGGGCGCGCCGCGCGCTCCGCCTCCCTGAGGCCCGCCGCCTGCGCCTCCAGCTCCTCCACGTGCGGCGCGTATTCTGGGAACGGCCGCAGCGCCGAGACCCGTGCCCGGATCCCAGCAATGAGGTCCACCGGCGGAGCCTCCGCATCGGCAGGGTCCGCCAGCCGCGCTGCAGGTGGGGCGGCCGCCGCGGGCGCCTGAGGTGCCGGCTGCGGCGCAGACGGCCCCGTACCTTCGGCAGCCTGGCGCGCGCCCGGGCCCCTCGCCAGGAGCCCTGCCCAAGGTGCCCTCGTTGCTGGTCCCGGCGGCACCGTGCCCTGGGGCGCGCGCGCCGACGGCACAGGCGGCGCCGCCCGCGCTGGCCGACCGCAGCCACGGCAAGCAGTGCGCCAGGCGAAGTTGTCGGCAGTGCCGCAGGCGCAGCAGCCCCAGAGCGGCGTGCGAAGCCCCCTGGCCTCGCCCGCCGCGCCAGCGCGCCGCTGCCCCCGCTGCCGCTGCTGCGAGCCCCCGCCAGCAGGACGCAAGGCCGCCTGGCACGCCTTCAGCAGCTCCCCCTGCTGCTTCAGCTGCCGCTGCAACGCGTCCCATGGCGGCTGGGCGGCACCCCCGCGCCCACCGCCTCGGCCAGCTGGCATCGGCTGCGGCCCGGGCGGCGCCGGCAGCGCGCGTGGATTGCCCTACGCGCGCGGGCCCGGGCGCCCGGGCGCTCTGTGCGACACGCCGGCGTCCACCCGGCAATGCCTTGACACACAACACGACTTGAGCCAAAATGCAAAGACACAGGCCATGGGAGCCGCCCGGGAGCCGCTTCACTCGAACAAATACGAAGGAGACGGGGAATTAGACCATCTCGTCCGGGCTTGTCCCCTCCCCTGGAACCCTTCCCAGAAAGGACTTTCCCCCCTGCGAAACGTCTCTCGCTCGGACCTCGCTCGTCCCGTCACCTGGGATGGCACGGGAACGGAACGAGTGGACCAGGAGCTTGCCCGAGATGGCTCACGGCACCGTTCGCTCTTGGGAGCTTTGGTGGTAAGAGCTTGTAACGTCACCACTCACTGTTGGGAGCCCTGGTGTTCAGAGACTTTTACGTTGCCGCTCGCTCCTGGGGGCCATGGTGTTGAGAGTTGTTTGCGCCACCGCGCTCTGAGGAGCCTTGGTGTTCAGAGCTTGTTGCGTCACCGCTCGTTGTGGGGAACCGTGGTGTCACTTGGCGTCTCCGGGGCTTCTTGGGAAACTTTTGGGGGCTCTTGTGGACCGACTCTCTGGGGGGGGCTGACTGCGCGCAGTCCGAAGCCTTACCAGTCGGGGGCCTGGGTCCCAGACATGCCATGTCCAGATTTTCTCAGTACGGGGCTCCTGGCGGTCCCAGCCCTTTCCCCGGGACTGGGTTGTCATCCTGAGTAGTTGTTTGACGGTCTTGGGGCCCGGTAAGGGCCCACTTTGGCCGAACATAGGGAAAACCCTCGACCTTTTTTTGTTCAGGACGTTGCTCGTCTGGGGTTATCAGTCCTCTATCCTTAGCGCTTTCTGGCCGCCGCCATTTCCCTCGCGCGCCGACACGAAGCGCCAGGTCGCTGCCCTGAACTTGGTCACCGACACGAACGCCCTTAGCGACCAGCCGCCGGCGCTGAGCGACGGCGCGTGCGGGTATGCCGCCGAGGTTCTGGGCTGGCCAGGGCGACGACGACGACGACGACGACGACGACGACGACGACGACGACGACGGCGGCGGCGGCGCCGGCGGCGCCGGCGGCGGCGACAACCCTATTTCTTCAACGTGGGCGTTTCCCCAGGGCTTTCAAAAACAGATCGGGGACGCAAAACGGGGGAAGGGGTCCAGCAGTCTGGGGCCGCGGATTGAAACAAAAGTCGCATCGGCGCATGCCGGGGCCTCGGGGAAGGGCTTCGGAAGTTCTCGAAGGTGTCCGAGGTCTCCCAGAATGTTCAAGCCCTCCGGCGATTTCCATCAGCTCCGCCTCATCGAGAGGCCTCCGTGAAGCCTGGGATCGTCTCGAACAGCTGCTTGGGGCTCGACTCGCCCAGGCCCCCGACGCAGTGATGAGTGTTGACAGCCTGGGCCCCCGAGGTCTCGATACATTCTCCATTGCTCTTTGACGGCCCTGGGGCCCGGCGAGGGCGAGGGCCCTCGGAGGCCGAGCACAGCCATCAGAGGTTGTCGCACATCATGAGCAACGGGTAGTGCGCCGCCCCTCTCAGGTCTCTGAGGCTTTGCCCTCTCCCAGCCAAGACCGCCAAAGCGCATCGTCACAGGGCGGAGGCGCGATTGCGGCCTCCGTTCTCGGGCCCCGAGGCCGTCTACAAGCAATCTGGGACGAAAAATTGGGCCCGGGGAGTGGGTAGAGATTTTCGGGGCCCGCGCATGAGGAAAATCGGGACGTCGGAGGTCTTCGGAGGGACTCGATGCCATCTGGTCGGGCTGCTTGACCAAGGAGCCAAGGAGTTCGGCGAAGGACTTCAGTGTATGTGCTCTCCGGCATCCCACAACTTGGGAAGGCTGGGTTGGTTATACACCGAGCCCCTTGACCGACCACACGGCGTGGTGTCTATTGTGAAGGCCTCATGGCCGGTGCCGCCGACCATGAAGGCGGGACCTCCCGCAGGACCCCCGCTGGCGCCCTCCGGGACCCGCCCTGACCTCGGGGGGAGGGGGCGGCATTCAGATCCGGGACTACCCCCGTCCACCACAGGCGGGATCCTTCCGGGACCCCCGCTGGCGACGCCCCCGGAGGGGATGGGCCATTGGTGTCCTTGTCCCCCTGTCCGCACGGGGGACCCCACACCCCCCGGACCCGTCAAGAACCCAGGGGGGCTCCCTGACCGACCACACGGCTTGAAGTATATTTCGAGCCCTTCCCAGATCTGGGCACTCCAGGCCGCTCGAATGGGGCCCGAGCAGAAGTGCTCAGAGGATCGCGCCACATCGCTGATGCATCGGCGCTACGGCGCGATCCAAAGCACGACTTTTCTCCGTTCCGATGTGGCAGATGTATCGCCGACGTATTGACCACATCGCCACCCATCTACGCTCGTTCTATTTGTCAGAGAGCCAGGAGGCCATGATGACGACGCTTTCCAATATTCTTCGGACTTCCACGATTTGCGAAGGCTCCGCACGGGCTGCAGAAGCGAGGGCCGCTAGGCGCTCTGGACATCCTGGAACGCATCCCGAGTCAATCGTATCATGACCCTATTCGCGTCCTCTCTGAGGTCCGGCCCCTCACCACATCATTGGATGCCCGGTTTTCCCAGAAAGGACACTTGCCCAGGGTTCGCGCTTAGCTGGTAGACCTGTCCCTTGGTGCCATGTTGGGGGGAGGCCGGCGGAATTCCATTCGATAAAACGTGCGTTCCCACTCGGCGTGGACGAAATGAGTTTTGCGCGTGTCCGTTCGAGGAAAGTAGTGGACGCCCCATGTCGGATCCGCGATGCATAACTAGGTCCGCTGACCTTCGTTTTCTGATATAAGAAAGAGGGTGCGGAGCGTTCTCCGCAGAATCCGCTATCAAGTGGTCTGGATACCCTAGCATTCTACAAACAAGAATTGTCATGTTGACTGTTTGCGCCCCCAACCGAGGGTGGCACGTCCTGCGTGCAGAACTGTTGAGGATGTCTCGACCGAAACGCTCGTATTGGAGAAGTGGAGAGGCCGTCGCTTTCGCTCCAGTCCTTGTCGCTTCAGGGTGGAACATGCGGGAAAACACGTGGGTCCATTTCGCCCCAGAGCGCGGCAAGCGCGAAATCACGTGGGTCCGATTCGCCTCAGGGCAGAGTAAGAGTGAAAACACGTGCGTCCCTTCGCCATAGGGCGGAGCAAGCGAGAACACATTCCCTTTCCTCAGAAAGACCAAGCGTGAAAACACGTGGGCCCCCTTCGCCCCAGAGCGGAACAATTTGTTCTCACGCTAATTGTTTCTGGGACGAAAAAGGGACCCGCGTGTTTTCACGCTTGCTGCGCTCTGGGGCGAAAGGGACCCACGTGTTTTTAGGCTGCTGCGCTCTGGGGCGAAAGGGGGCATGTGTTTTCACGCTTGTTCCGCTCTGGAAGGGGGCCCTTGCGTTTTCACGATTGCTGCGCTCCTGGAGCGAAAGGGACGCACGTGATTTCACGCTTGCTGGGCACTGGGTCGAAAGGGACCCACGTACTGTCATGCGTCCTGGTCACCCAGGGGTGGTCTCCCCCTCGCAAATGTGAGGGATGGCGTAACATCAGAGCAAACTCAACGGATCGGCACCAGATGCATACTCAATTGGCACGTTCCATCCTGGAGCTCTGGGGAGGCCTCCTGGGGCTTCGTGAGGCGACCCATGTGTGTTTCACGCTTATTGCATATTGGGGCGGAAGGGGTCCACGTCGTTTCACGCTTGCTGCGCTCTGGGGCGAAAAAAGACTCACGTGTTTTCACCCTCATTCCGCCCTGGGGCGAAATGAACCCACGTGTGTTCACGCTTGTTCCGCTCTGGCGCGAAAGGGGCCCACGTATTTTCATGTTTGTTTCACGTTGCCAAGGCGGATCTTGAACATGAGGATTTGTTGAGGGGGGTTCGAGCGAAACGCGGGTATTTGCGTGCCCAGGCCGCCCAGGCGAATCATGAACCTGCGTATGGTTTGGGGATGTCTAGGGCCAAACGCTCGCTCTACAGGATCTGTTGAGGATGTCTCGAGCGAGGTCCTCGCCTGCAGGGAAGGGCTTCTTCTGCAGGATGTGTTGAGAATGTCTCTCGCGAAACGCTGTTTTGTCCACAGTTTGAGCAGGTGTCGAGCGGGGGCCTTGTCGTCGTCTCGGTGCTTTTCGTTTCGGTTCGGATTCGTCCCTCGGTCGTGTCGTCCCACTTCGGAACTGAATCGGATCTTGGGTTCGAGCTGGTTGAACGCCCCGCATGTTTTTCCCCCGCCTTTCGTGGTCGCGCTCGGTTGGCTCCGTTGCGGAATTGAATGTCTCGGGCGATAGCTTCGGAACGGAATCGGATCTTGAGCTCGAGCTGGTCGAGCGCCCCGCGTATTTTGACTAGAACTAGCCCGAGCTGTGCGTTCAGCAGGCAGTTCGAGCTTCAGATCCAAATCAGTTCGGTCGGCCACGATTGTGACGCCAAGGACGGCTTGATCCACACTGCAATAGGGCGCGGCACGGTTCAACGCGGCGTGACACGTTGAACCCAGCACAGCACGGCACAGCACGGCGCAGTACAGCACAGCCCGTGGCACGGTACATCACGATCGTTATTCTGAGCATTGGAATTGCCCGTCGTCCAGGTTTGACGTCTTGGTAACGATACCAGGCTTCACGACCGAGCGGCACGATCGCGACCGATTCCAAACTCGGTCGCAACCGATTTTCAAACAAATTGGTCGCGACCGATCCTGTCTTCTCGGTCGCGACCAGAAGAATCCGGCATCCAAGATCAGGGTCGCATCCGCTGTTGCCCCGAGGTCCCGCTGCCGCCCGTGGCGATTTACTTCTCGTACCCTGGGACTGGCGAGGTCTACGCCAGGTGGCCGCCGTCTCCAAGCGACGGCGGGGCCGCCATCGAGTTCTACGAGCTGACCATGAACAACGGCCCTGCCGCCCTCCTCTCTGGCCCCCCCCTCCCGCTTCTCCTGGCTCGGAGGCCTGCAGTCGCAAGAACCTCGTTGCGGAATATAGGAGAATTCCAGGAGCGGCCTCATCTTTGAGGAACGAAGGAATTGCCATCGCTTCCTCAGCGAAAGCATGCGGAAGTAAAACAGAGGCGGTTCCGCCCGCAGCAGGCCATCGGAAGGCCAGCGGAGGTCGGCGGAAGTACACGATGCGCCCCAAAGATATGTCAATGTTTTTGGATTCCGTGTCGGCCAGAGTCGGCCATGTCGGGAAGTCACGGCCAGAGATTTGCGGGGCTGCAGGCATCTTGCTGTCGCGTTTCTCGATCTGGGCCGATCCGTGAGGGCCGAGAGGTTCAGTAGAAAGACGTGGGAGCCTTGCGTGCCCTCGCAAGTCCGTCTTTAGAGTACTTGCGTCTGACAATCGATGGAAAGGGGCCGACTTCACATCGATTAGCGTCGATATAGCGTAGATTTAGCCTGGATCAGCGCCGACTCGCAAGAGCCAACGACATGGTATGGGAGGCTCCTGCGAGGTGCCACCGAATCTGGGAAAGACGCCCAGTCTGGAGTTACCTGTCTCGAGGGCCGTACGAAGGCCCGGGCCCTGCCGCCCTCCTCCCCACATCCCCCTGACGTCGTCTTTTTTGTTCGCAGCGAGGGCCCCCAGAGGCCTCGACCCGTTCCCGTGGACCGGATTTTTTGGGTCGTCTTTCGACGGCCCGGGGGCCTGGCGAGGGCCCCCAGACGCCGAACATGGCAACACACGCTGCCCAGCGTGTTTTTTCCCGGCGCGAGGGGGTCAGCGCCCGGGTGGGTGCATACGAACAGGCAAGCCCAGACGTGCCGACGACAAGCCCCCCAGAGGCCCAGAAAGCCTCGATCTCCGAAGTTCGAAGTTCGAAGGGGTCCGTCGCGATTTGTTGACGACGCGATGGGGTTTCGTGTTCGGATCATAAGTTGGGTCTACGTCGGCCAATCGGGACAAGTTGGGTAGCCCATCCTCGGCCAATATTCTTTTCGTGTTGCGTGAGTCCCAATGAATACGGCGACACGATGGCAATGAACTTTTGGTTCTGGGTTTTCCCTATCAGAATTAGCAAACAAGAGATCACGAACGCGATGTTTATTCATATTGCTTCGAGTCCTCATCTTTCCTCCTTCCTCCTCTTCCCCTTCAGCCTCACTCGTACCGCTCATACTCCGATTCGCTCTTCTCACTCTGACTTAGCCATGCGATTTCCTCTTTCAGATTCAATCATGCTCAGAATCACTCATGCTCAGGCTTACCCACAGTCAGACTCACTCGCAAGTCTACAGGCTCACTCATCTTAAGACTCACTCCCAGAGAGTGGGCTCATATCTTCACACTCACTCACACTCAGGCTCACCCACACACGTACTCACACTCACCACGCGCACACCCTTGCGTGCACGCACACACACACATTCTGTACGGCCACTTGTCACACGTCATACCCAGGCTATCAGTATCATTTGTATTCATATTCATCCTTCCTCACGCAGACTCAGTCACATCACGCCCCCATTGAGACTCTCTCGTGTTCAAACACAGTCACGCACACAGTCTGTACGAATATCTCAGGCGAGGCGCTGTTCTCAACACCCCCAAGTGGGAGCGCCATAGGCCATAGGGGATATCTCACGGGCCCGTTGACGCCCAGGTTGTGGGGATGGTTCAGGCGGTTTGCCAGTTTGTATGCTAAGCATCCTTTGTTTTCGGGGCATGGTGCAAGGCCCCAGTCGAAGAGTGTGCCGACCGCAGGCTGGGCCGCGACCAACGCCCCGGACGACCGCGACCACATCGTGCAGGACTGCGACCAGGGCGACGTCGTCTCGTTCCAGGTCCCTCGTGGGTGGGCGGGGGGGCCTCCCGGATCCTGGCGCCGCCGACCTTCGAGGGCGCCCCGAGCCCCGAGGGCACAGGCAAGACGCTGGCTTGAGGACCGCTTTTGGGCTCCGGAGGGGCTCGGATGTTCGGGCCGCTCCTTGACTTTAGGTCGTGGAGCCTGTCTGTGGCCTGGGCTCCCTGTGGCCAGAACAGCCCCTTCCTGCCTCATGTTGCGTTCCTCACGGTAGCACGGCGCTTGCACATTTGGCTTGAGACGGGCTGCCGCCATTTCTGGGGGGGTCTTCCGGGGGGCTTGCTCTCGTCGCCGCGGCCCGGCTCCCACAGAGATTCAAGCCAGAACCGCCGCCCCTCAGATTGGCGATCTCTGGAGGAGAGTCTCCCCGATCTGGGCGCGTGGTGCTCCTCTGTAATGTGCATGTGCTCAGCGCGTGCTTTCGGCCCGCCTGTGCCCCTCCCCCCCCCTGTCCATGTTTTACGTCGCAGCGCGGCAGAGGCGATCCGCACGCGCGCTGTATTGGGCCGGGCTCGGGCACGCGCGAACCGTACGCGGGCAAGAGAGGGGACCAAGGTGGTCCCCCCCCTGCCCACGGGACCCTCCAAGAGGAACGGCTTGGGACGAGCAGCCTGCCCCAGGGAGGGGGCCAAGACTCCCAGGGGCCTAAACATTCGCCACGAACAAGAGGTGCCACGCCAGGGGAGAGAGGACGAGGGCTACCGCGGGAGGCAAGGGATGATCGCGGTCCATCTTGCAGGAGGTCCCTGCTGGTCTTTCCGATGGCTTCCTTCGTGCTCTCCCCGTCCTCGTCGTTCTCTTCCTCCGCCTCCCTCCTTCCCCTGCCTTCGCCGTCTCCTCACCCTGCCCCTTCCTCTTCCTTCTCCTCTCTCTCTCCTCCTTTGCCAGCTCGTGCTCTCCCTCCCAGTCCTCTTCTCTCCTCCTCCTTCTGCTCCTCCTCCTCCTCCTCCTCTTCCTCCTTCTCCTGCCCCCTTGGGAGATTAGTTTGTATGTGCATCTGTACTTGTACATGTCTATAGTTCTGTGTGCATACATGTACGCAGCCGTATCCCACATACACGTGGACAGACTAGCGAAGACTGGCGACAAGGTTTCTGACATCATGGCTTGGTATGGTCGCGTAAGACACAATCTGTCGCTTGCTGGGCTGACTTAGTATGGATCTTGAGCAGAGCATGGGATGGACTGACCTTGTCTGCCTCCTCTTCCGTCGTGTGGTCCGATCTTGGGGGCTCGTTCGCACCGATGGGGGGTCTTGCGCCGTCCTGAGCGCCGTCGCTGTGATACCCCGACGGCCACAGGACCATGCCAGTACGTCTCCCCCCCCGTTCCGTAGCCACCTGGCCCAAGCCCTTCCGTTTCAGGCTTTGCCCGCCATGTATCTCTTTGGGGCCCTCCTGGCGGTGTTGCTGGGGGTGTGCCAGGCCGATGTTAGGATGCAGCTCCTGGGAGTTTAGACTCAGCATCGGTGCTGGTATATCCGCGGTCGAAAGCTGGTCCAACCTGGCGTATCCTGCTCAGTTCCAGTTGATCATCGTTGATTCTGCTTCATCTCCGCCTTTATCTGGGCTGATCCGGCTTCGTGGCCACTCAATTGGGCCCAGCAGCTCGTAGCCGGTCTGACGGACACCTCCCAGAAGTTGCCTCCTAACCGATGAAGCCAATGTAGACGCGAAGGGCAATCCGTACGCCACGAGGCCTTGGAACGCCACCTTCTCGGTCGTCCTGTCTGGCCGCGACGGCGATGCCCCGAGCACCTTCATTGTCCGGGTGCACCCGCACTGGGCGCCCCAGGCCGCCAAGCGTTTCCAGGACCTCGTCGTGAGCGACGTCTTCGCCAAGGCCAGACCGCCAGACCTCGCATCGTGACAGAAATTGTCGCGGAAGGTTTTATTTCTGGCTTCCAGGGCTCTCGCCAGACCCCGGGGCCGTCGAAAAGGAGGAAAAGCTTGCCCAGGGGAATGGGTCGAGACCTCCGGGGGCCAACTCGGAGTGAAACAAATACGACGTCGGGAAATCTTGGAGGCCCGCTTCTTCCGGGTCGTGCCCAACTTCATGGTGCAGTGGGGCATCCCCGCCGACCCGGGAGTGGCCGCGGTTTGGAGGGAGAGGGCGATCCCGGACGACCCCAGCTCGGGCCACAGCAACAAGCGGGGCATGGTGACCTTCGCCACTGCGGGCCCGAACACCCGCACGTCCCAGCTCTTCATCTCGAGAGAGAGAAAACACGGCATCAACATGCGTGGATATTTCAAGAGCTCCGCGCGGATTTCGTGGATCTGCGCTGGAGCCCCATGGCGGCGCCTCAGCGCCAGCCCAAAGGGGCCCAGCGCCGATCCAAGGAAATCCGTGCGGAGTTCCGAAAGTTACGTGATTGCCGTTTTTTGCCTTCGATCATCAATTACAAGGACAACGCATTCCTGGACCGCAAGGGCTTCACCCCATTCGGGCGGGTCGTGCAGGGGATGGACGTTGTCGACAGGATCCAGAGCAAGTACAGGGAGCAGCCCAGCCAAGGCGAAATTCAACAGCGTGGCAACGCGTACCTGATGGAGAACTTCCCGGACCTGTCCTACATCGCCGGGCTGGCCGGCACCTTCCAGCGCGCGCGCCAGCTCAGAAGCTCTGAGGCCTGATTATGCAGCGGATCTCGGCCGGGGTTCGGTTGTGTGTGTGTGTGTTGAGCCGCCTGTGGGGGTGATTTGTGATTGCCAGTGGGGGAAAACAGTTCAACCAATGATATATCCTGTCTTCCCATTCTGCTCTTCAAATTCTTTACGCTTCGCGTATCCCCACCAGCCCATCTCACAGCAGCAACTCTCGCGAAGCATTCCGACAGTCGTGTTTTTCAGGCGTGTGTCCGCTGGGCCCCGTGGTGTGAGTCGTTCGGGCCCCTCGTCCTGGTGTGAGTCGTTCGGGCTCCTCGTGGGGCCTCTTGGGAGCCTCTTGGGGGCCTCTTGGGGCCTCTTGGGCGCCTCTTGGGAGCCTCTTGGGGGCCTCTTGGGAGCCTCTTGGGGGCTCTGGGGGCCTCGTGGGAGCCTCTTGGGGGCCTGTTGGGAGCCTCTGGGGGCGTCTTGGGGGCCTCTTGGGAGCCTCTTGGAGGCCTCTTGGGAGCCTCCTGGGGGCATCTTGGGGCCTCTTGGGGGCTTCTTGCGACCTCCTCAGAAGCGCAAATGAGCGCTACCCCCTGAGAAGTACAAAATGAGCCCAAAACCGTAGTAAAATCAATGATTTTGAGAACAAGGAAGAGGAACGCTGCCCCCTCAGAAGGCCAAAATGGGGCCAAAACCGTAGTAAAATCAATGGTTTTGGCTTCACAGAAGAGGAGAGGGTTTTTTCTCAATCCCCCCGTCGGGGCCAGAATCCTCGTGAGGGTCGTCGTTTTTTGGCCCTCCCAGGAGTCAAAAAAGACCCCTCCAACGACCCGCGGAACTCCCTCTCCAGGCCCAGGGGGAGGGGGTAGGGGGTGGGGTAAACCCCTCCCCGAAGGGGAAGAAGGGGGGTTGGGGGGTTGAGGACAGAGAGAGCTCTCTAAACCACTCACGCCCAAAGGGCTGGTGGGATTCGTCCGCATGCCGTCGCCGAAGCGGGGCGGGGAAGCGGGGGGAGGGGAGGCAAGGGAGGTGGGATGGAGGGAGGTGGACATCGGAACAATTCAGGTTCCAGGGATACTTGAGAATGAGAGAGGAGGAGGCCGCGGCGCCGATCTGGTTTCAAATCGCATGGGACGCAATGTGAAGCACGACTGGCCGCTGGCTTTTCCAACATACTTGTCCCATCTTCCTGCCTTCCTCTTCAGGCGGTGGCAATGAGGAGGAAGGAGGAAGGAGGAGGAAGGAGGAGGAGGAGGAAGGAGGAGGAGGAGGAGGAGCAGGGACGAGGGGAGAGGAGGGGGAGGAGGATGGCGAGGCGGAGATGACTGATGATGTTGTTGTTGATGATGGTGGTGATGCTGATGATGCTGATGCTGATGCTGCTAATGATGATGCTGATGCTGATGCTGCTGCTGATGCTGATGCTGGTAGCTCTGATGGCGTTGGTGATAAGAACAATGCTGATGCTGATGGCGATAATGATTCTGCTGGCGATGATTAATGTAGTGGTGATGATGATGCTGCTGATGATGATGTTGATGCTGAGTATGGCGATGTTGATGCTGATAATGATGTCGACGACGAAGGCAAACATTAACATTATGATTAGTATCAGTAAGCATATAAGTCCGAGTGCGATTACGATCGTGATGCTCATGATGCTGCGGATGCGGATGATATTGATCATGATGATGCTGTCGATGATGGTTATGATTCGGATAACTATTGTGAGCACCACGGTGCTGACAAGTATGATGATGGCGACGTTGGTGACTGCGATGCTGAAGACGATGCTTGTGGTGCTTGTGATGAAGATGGTGGTGACAATAACGATGGTGGCGGCGGGGATGTTGATGCTGCTGTTGCAGTTTGATGACGGTGATGAGGATGGCGGTGATTATGCTCCTGATGTCGTTGATGATGATGGTGGTGATATTGATGATGATGATGATGATGATGATGATGATGATGATGACGATTATGATGATGATGATGATGATGATGATGATGATGATGATGATGATGATGATGATGATGATGATGATGATGATGATTATCAAGATTAGGATGATGATGTTGGTGCTGATGCTGATGCTGCTGCTGATGATGGTGGCGGTGATGATGATGGTGATGGGGAGGAGGAAGTGGAGGAGGAGGAGGAGGAGGAGGAGGAGGGGGATGAGGATGCGGAGGCGAGGAGGAAGAACGTGGGCATCTTCCCAAATGACTGTGTGGGGGGGGGGGCCTCGCGTGCGCGTGCCTCCGCCCGCCCGCCCACTTCTGACAGGCAGACCACTCGCGGATGCAGCCATGGCATCCCCAGTGAAGTTAGACGCGGGCGGCCCACAGCGGCTTCAGCATAGTGACGTACAACCCGAACTCCGCGAACGCTGAGCGGAGCCGTGACAGAGCCGAGGAGTTTCGGAAGATGGACCTCATAGGACTGATAGGCGCACAGATGAAGTCGTCTGGAGGAGAGTTGCTGAACACGTGCAGGACGATGAAGTGCCACTGGAGCGTGGACTGGATGGCACATGGGAGCGTGGCTTGACAGTGCGGATCCAGAAAAGGATGTTCAGCAAGAAATATTGCAAAGGGTTTTTCCAGGTCCCGAGCCAGGGGAGGGTGGGAGGCATGAAGCTGCAGAGAGGTTCGATGAGAAATGTGCCGGTTCTGTTGTAAGCCCCCCCTCAGCCACGAGATCGAGCACGGAGGCGAAAGTTTGAGGCGACGATACAGTGAATCCGGAAATTGTTGGCATCAACGTTGAGCTCGCTGCCGGCGCGATGGTCACCCTTTATCATGATGGATGCGAATGGCTGCTTTGAGTCGGACGGCACCACGGTTGACCATATTGAGGAGGAAGGGTGAACACCGCGTTGGCCATGCTGTTTGAGCTGTTCAGCGCGCACGGTCTACGTGTGGCCAATGCTTGGTGAGCGTCGGGAGCGATGTATTATGCCAACGGAGAAGGGAAGGTATGGAGAAGGGAAGGTCATCGACTACATAGTGATCCCAGAGAGCTGGAAGCCGATTGTGAGATGGTGCAGGGTGCAGGGGCAGAGTGCATGGAGGCTGCAGGCGCACTCCCCAAATACGTTGTAGGATCACGCGCCGCTGGCGCGCGAGATAGCGATGGAGTGCGCGGCGGAGCCGCGCGAGAATATCGAGAAGCAGCAGCCCAACAAAGAGGCGATGGCGATGCTGCTGCAGCTCGGCTGGAAGAGGAAGCAGTTCGTGGAGAAGCTAGAAGACGAGATGAAGACGGTCTACGAAACCTGTGATGGAGGCCGACGAGGTGAAGCGCATGGATGTGGCGAACGAGTGCATCATGAAGGAATTGCAAGGGATAGGCAGGGGCGCGTGCTCGCAATCACCGTTGCACACCGATGACCACCATGTACGTAGCGCGAAGGTAACAGAGTTGCTGCAGCAGCGGAGAGCAGTGCGAGAGAGATTTCGAGAGCTTCAGTACTTGATGGGAGTTGGTTCTACACCCTGTGCGGGAGGAGAGGTAGTGAACGACTCGTACGAGAGCATTTTGCAGAGGTCCGAGCGGGCGCAGCTCGAGGTGTACTATGAGGGAGCTGAACCGGTGCCGCGGCTGGGGGGCCGCGGCCAGATTGGGTCCACGCAATCGTGCGAGGAAGGTTTGATTAGCAACGGAGTCGGGCAGGCACCGTGCACGGGAGAGGATTCGACGGGTGGCGATCTGTCCAGGAGAGAGCGGGAGCTGACGGTTGAGTAGGACAGGGCACGTAAGTGGCTGCGAGAGCGAAAAAGGTCGCATGCGAAGCAGCATGAGGAAGATCGGACGCAGGAATTCAAGGAGGCAGCGGGGCGGGGGGGATAGCACGACGACGCGCCGGATGGCCAGACTATATGCGCAGCGACACACAGGGGCCAGGAAAAGGATCTTCGGAAAACATCGCGTGGAGGGCGCGAGGGCAGACTGGGAGGAGCGCGTAAAGGGACGTGGACCTGATGGAGGATGCTAGGCGCAGGAGGTCGCGACGAACGAGGTGCAGCGCAACCTGGAGGCCAAGAGGGCCTGGATGCGGGAGGTGACGAACGACAAGATCGACGCCGACTTCGAGATGCTGGAGGGATCGCCGTGGAAGGCGAAGCTAGGTCTGGCCGCGCCGAGCAGCTCAGGCGCGCCTTCTTCCCCACGCGGGCGAGGTGGCAAAGCTGGGGGCGCCTGCGTCCTGCCAGGTGATGCGCGCGCTGCTATCGGAGATGTGGTCGAGGCTGGCGCTGCCCAGGCAGCGGGCGATAGCGAAGGCGGCGCGCGCGGGTAAAAGGCGCGGGCGAGGAGGGCGCCAGGGGCGAGCGCATAGCGATGCTGGCGTGCGCGCTGGCGAAGGGGCACTGCGGCGGGGTGGCGAGGCGGGCCCCGAAGGGCGCGGCCCCTGCGCGAGCGCGCGGAGGGCCGAGGCGAAGACGACAAATCAGTTCGATCGTGATGCAGGTGGCGACGGTCTGGAGGGCGGGTGGGCACGTTGGGCCACGGCGTGAAAGTAGGCTTCGCGGCGCTGCGAACGCTTGTTTCTTCGATGATCAAAGCAGGGCTGAGGAGGGCGGCGATCAGGGTGCTGGCGGAGCAGGACGTCATGCTCATGGTGCTGAGGTTGGGCCACGCGCGATTCCAGCTCGACGGCGCGCCCCGGTCAGTGGCGCGGAACACGGGGCAGGGGCGCGCGCCGGGCGGCCCAGCCATGGCGAGATTATTCGCGATGGCGCACGTGCGGGGCGCGATGGGGCTGGAGGCACGCGTCGACGCGGGCAGTTGGCGAGTCCCCGTTCGAGGAGGAGGAAAGGGCCCCGCTGGCGATGACGCCGTTCGTGGATGACGCGGCGGGCTCCTTTCCTCTTCGCGAGTGCGCCTGGCGCTGCGAAGGAGGAGGGGGGGGGGGGCGGGGGGGCGCAGGGCGATAGAGTGGGCAGAGTGCTGTGGCCGATGTCCGTGGCGCAGGGCGCGGGCGAGCAGGGGTGGGGGGTGCTTGGGGGGGTCAGGTCTTTAGGGGTGCCCGCAGGGGGGT